AAGGAAGGATCTGTCGAGTTGCGTCTGTTGTGAATCCACAGGTTTAGCCGCAGGTTGCTGCAGAGCATCTGCATGGTTTCGGCTTAAGTGGTTGCGCAAATTTGTTGTGTTATTGCAGTATTTTAGTACTGCCTGGCACAGCTTACACACTACCTTACTTTTGTCTATTTCCTGTGTTCCAGGTTTACACTGCTTTTAAGCTGAAGGCGCTGGTTTAACACTGTTGCTACCTGCTTCGGTTGCTATGTTGTTGTGTGGTCGAGTGCAGCCACCATCCAAATCACACAAAGGTGTTGCTCACCGCGCCCCCACTGGCCAGGGCCTTGAATCGATTCAGAGGATTTAATGAATCGATATTGAATTGGGAAAAAATATATTGCAATGCATCGATGAATCGATATTTTTACCCACCCCTACATAATTATAAAGACAATGAATGAATGGAACAGACTGACACTTGACAAAGGAATATTGTACAGGCAGACAGAACAACGGAAACAATTGGTCCTCCCCAGTAAGTTGAAGTTAACTGTTCTGAAATACCTGCATGATGACATGGGACACGTTGGCACAGACAAAGTTATCCACTTGGCAAGAGAAAGGTTTTATTAGCCTTTTATGCAACTTGAAATTGAAGATTATGTCATACGCCAGTGCCAGTGTGTTAAACAGAAGCGACCACACATCCCAGAGAGAGCACCTAGGGGTTCAATAACAACCAGTGCCCCTTTTGAACTCATCTCTGACTATCTCCATCTTGAACAGTGTAAAGGTGGCTATAAGTAAATTTTAGTCTTTAGTCTTATACTTTGCACAATCCTACCCGACCAAGAACAAGTCAGGCAGAACGGCAGCTGAAAAGATCTTGAAGTGTGAGAACAGCCTTTTCCACTCCAGCAGCTGGCAGGGATTGCCCACTCTCGAACTACCCCCTATCACCCATAGGGGAATCCCACGGAGCGCCTGAACAGGACTCTTCTACAGATGCTCCGTACTGTGCAAATGGAAAAAAAAAGGCTGAATGGAAGGATCACCTACACCACATTGTCCACGCATACAACTGTACGAGACATGAGAGTATAGGTTATTCACCATTCTTTCTCCTGTATGGAAGAGCCCCACGCTTGCCTGTTGATTTGCTCTTTGACCTGAAACCTGACCTGTCCTGCATCGCAACCTTCTGCTACCTGTTAATGATTTGCAGGAGTCTGATCATTCTGAGGAAGAGGAGGAATACACATATTGCCTCAGGACCATACCTGTGTATGAATGGAAGAGTGCCTCAATCTAAACCACATTAGTGAACTCAGTACTGTAGCTCCAGAGTTCCAGCTGATGAGACAAGCAACGGGAATGGCTCAAATGCAGCAGCTACATGAACCTAACCCAGTTGCAGTGCCAGATTCAGTGCAAATGCCTTAATATCTTAAGCTTGAATCGGTATATAATATGAATGCATCGTAAATTGTTTTGTAACTGATAACATGATTTGAGACGTGGGTAATTAGAGTGTAATTAGTTTCGTTTTGTAGCTAATTGTTCGTCATACTTAGTAGTTTGTTACACAGTAGTGTAAATTAACTGACATAAGCATACTGTAACAGGAGAAAATATGTTTTAAATGTTATTCAGAGTATTAGTCAGCCGCAGTGAGGAAACTGTGATGAGAAAGATTTCATATTAGAGTAAGTTTCACTTTCCAAGTCATTCGTTAACGCAGCGTGGTCATGCCATATTGTTAACCGCTGCTGTGAAGTGCAAGTGTGTGTAAGAGAGTATGATGTATAGGAATGTTAGGAAAGGCTTTTTTTAAGTTAAGCCAATTTTTATTTATTTGTAATGTTACCTTCATTTTTACCGAGCCCCTAAAGGGACATGGAAAAAAAAAAAAAGAAACATTTCTAGTGCGCACTAGATACTATCTTGTGAGCACTAGATACTATCTTGTGCGCACTAGATCCCTATCTTGTGAGCACTAGATACTATCTCGTGCGCACTAGATACTATCTAGTACTATCTAGTGTGCACTAGATAGGATCCCGTGTTGTGGTGAATCAACACATGGCTAATTTTAATATTCAAATGAGTATTAAACTAATTTGTCTGTAACTAAAAAATAAATGTAAATTTATCTGCAACCTTTTTTGTTACAGTCCGCATTTAAATGCCCTGTCCTGCACCCGGACACTCATTTGTCCTCCTTTTGAGAAAATAACAAAAACAGTCTGCCTTTTGACACATTACCTTGTTAGTTTAATACTTATTGGCTTAAAATGTGTGTCAAAATAAGTAATTTAAACAAGATAGTATCTAGTGTGCACTAGAAACGTTTCTTTTTTTCTTTTTTTTCCCATGTCCCTTTAGGGGCTCCGTACATTTTGAATTCATGTAAACTTGTTTTAATTTAGACAAAATGTTATATTATTTATTGTAGTTTAGTTACACCATTTGTTGTTTAATTTGTGAAATATTTTGGTAAGAATTTGACATGCAAAGCTCGAAAATGTGACTGGAAATTATTTGTGAATGTGTCAGAAATCAACAAACCCTGATATGATATATAAATGTTAATTTAATCCTCGTGCTGTAAATAAAATTAAAATTTGAATTAAATATGTGGTCTAGTTTTTTTCTTGTTGTTTTTTTCTAAAATCATTTTTACTTTTAAAGTTTAATTACATTAGATTAGTTTTCTGTGACATATGGTTACCATAATCTGGCATTCAAAGGCTGCCTCTTTAATCTAATATTGCCAGTTAAACATGATCCTGGTAAAATACATTTTAAAAATAGTCTGGCACAGTTGAACCTGATCACACCCACATGTGTACCTGTGTAATAATGAAAAACAGTTTGGGCAGACAGTTTTGATTTGAAATGAAAACTGAATATTGTATGCAAAATGTGAAATTGTATTTAAAGGTCCAGTACGGATTTAGTGGCATCTAGTGGTAACATTGCAGATTACAACTAACAACCTGTGTATGAGAACGGCTGTGAAGTGTAAACCCCAAACACACACACACACACACACACCCACACACACACACACACACACACACACACACACACACACACACACACACAGCTGCTGATCCAGTTCTACTCTGCAATAATCCAGTCTGTTCTCTGTTCAGCCATCACTGTGTGGTCTAGATCGGCCACAACAGGAACAGACTACAATGGACACACAGAAAAAAAGATGTGGTGTCATCCTGCCCTCTACTGACACTCGACTGCAGACCCATCACACCCTGGACGCGACATGTTCCAACTTCTGCCCTCTGGTAGGCGCTACAGAGCACTTTACCAACCAGACATAACAGTTTCTGTCCACATGCCATCACTCTGATGAACCTATATTAATGGAAGTATGTTTTTGTGTCAGAGGGTTACTGACACCAAAACATACTTCCATTAATATATTTTTACTGTTTAAATGCACCGTTTTTAACACATGCAGTGCACTGTCAATATGACCTGCATGCTATATATACTTTAGACATATATGCATACACATAATCATCCGTTCCATGTACATTCAGTATATATTTATATTAGCGTTCTTTTGGCCTAGCACACTTTGCAGTTTTTTTCACATGCTGTTGCAACAACTAGTAATGTTAGAAAAACTACAACACCACACCGGATCTAGCTAGACCGGAAACAAAACAACAGGCCCGCCGCACACACTTGTTTAAGAGCAGTAGACGTTACGTTTTGAGTGGATGGCGAGCGCGAGACGCCATAATGGATGCCAATAATATTCTGAATGGAAAGTTTACTTTTAAAAAGTTGCCAAATGGTTCCGTTGACAAGACCAAAGTGATCTGTGTGTTTTGTCGTTGTGAACTGAGCTATCATCGCAGCACGTCCAGTCTGAAATACCACTTGATGGCCAAGCACACAGCTGATGCAAATTCTCCTGCCCCCTCGTCAAAGCCAGGCGACAATGGATGATTTTTCAATAAAAACAACATTTGCACAAAGCAAGCTGATCCACTTTTCCATGTTGATAAGAGCATTAAAATGAGAAAAAATAATGGGACAAAAAGAAATCAAGGGACATTTAGAATAGATAAAAATGTGCGATTAATTTGCGATTAATTGCGAGTTAACTATGACATTAATGCGATTAATTGCGATTAAATATTTTAATAATTTGACAGCACTAATTTACATTCTTTGCAACTTACAGAACACTTGACTTGTACATTATAACCTGGTCAGGCAGTCAACTCGAGCCGCACTGATATACACACATGACATGTCTCACTCCTAATCACTAACCAAACGCACCCTTCCAATCTGGTCTATTTAGTTTTGTCTATTTAAACTGCACAATTTCCCAGCTCTCCCTCTGCTCTGTCAATGCCGCTGTTGCGCTGCATCCGTATTGCTGCTGCTGCTTTGTAAGCTATTGCTGCCTGCTGCGCTGTAAACAGGGGGGTTAAGATATTTGCTCATCACTCCCCAATATCTCTATGTAAACATATCTGCGAGGTTGGAGCCTAGACGCCAAAATCTAAATATGCTATACTGCTGTAATAAACATTTCAAACGTGAGTTGTCTGAACTTTATTTTTGTGTGATTTGTATGCACCATTGCACCAAGACAAATTCCTTGTTTGTGTAAAAACTTACTTGATAGATAATACATAGTTTTATGTGTGTCCACCCCCACCTGTTCTCACAAGCATTCATTTGTTGACTCCGTCTCCATGCTCCTGGGACCTGCAATTTATTTTTTGACCAACCACTCCCACCCACTGCAAAGTCAAAAACCAACACCATTTGTGAATCCCAATGTTGTCTCTTCTAGTGCAATGCACTAACTTCGGGCAAGACAGACTAAACAATAGTGAAACATTTCCATCAAAAGCATGTTAACTTTGACATTGTAAGCATGTTAGCATCCTGACATTAGCAGTTAGCTCAAAGCCCCACTTCCTTAGAAAAGCCTCATAGAGCTGCAAGAATGAAGACACACCAGTCTGCAATTACATCCAACAACACAATGACTTTATTTTCTATTGGAAAGCAATGCTATTAAAGTTGGTGATTACAGGTTTTATTGTATCATTTGATTACATTCAGTGTTTCTTAATTACAAACATTTGTTAAAGCATACAGTATGTAATATCTGTTAACATAGATATATAGTCGTCTTTGAGCTGGACCTTCACTAGCTTCATTTAAATCTTAGTAGTTAAATGAACAGGGCTAAAATGGAAATTGCAATAAATAGCCATTTCCAACTACTTGAACAGCTTCAGATCAGAAGTGGGCCTGGTAGGCCAGTAGATATCCATCGTTGTACATGTAGATCTGCTTGTTGGTGGGGTTGTAGCTCAGACTGGCCACTCCTTTAGCTACCTTCTCGAGTGGCAGTGCTAGTGAGTTGTCCTCTTTTCCCGTTGCTGTGTCGAAGGCGTAGAACACCTCCTCGTGGTATTCGTCCACGTAACGAGTGGCATACAGCACACCGCACACCATGAAAGCATTGCTCACCGCCTTCTTGAACAGCCTCGTCTCCCACGTCTGCGAGACATTGAGCATCTCAGCCCCACTGTCCCAAACTAGCTGGCTCACCACCATGTTACCATGGTTACCGACAGTGGCATAAAGGGCCCATAGTCCCGTCTCATCTGCTTCCACATCCACATCACTATTGGCACGGCAGTCATAGTAACAGTACGGGAACTTGTTGTTGAAACCCACACCGGTGCCTGGAAGTGTCACCCGTTTAACAGTGTTGCTGTTCAGGTCGTAGCGGCAGATGTCTGCAGAGCGGTAGCAGTGATAGTACAGAGCTTCACCATAAAGAACAGCACTGGGTCCCTCAATGCTGTTAGCGTGACTGTAGGATGGGGCGAAGGTGTAGTCCCTGTGGTTGGCAGAGGCCATGAAGTCTTCGTAGGTTTGGTAGACACGCAGGGTGTTGCCCCTGACGTGGCTGTCAAGCAGAGGTTGAACCCAGTAGCTGTTCTTCTGTCCCTCACTGTCCATCTGGGCCTGTTTGCCCCATGAACCAGAGATGTAGCTCTTACCGTGTGGACTGACCTTAGTCATGACAGGATCACTAATGTTGGTGATGAGGCCCTTGAGGCAGTATCTGCCTTTGCCTGGAAACAGAGAGAAATGAGAAGGGTCTGAAGATCAGTTGATGTAACAGTGTAAAGAAGTTTTTCTCAAATGGGTGTACGCATTCCCCCAGGGGTACTTTGGAGTACTAAAGGGAGCACATGAGATTTTTTCTTTTGTTGATTTAAAAAATGTAAGTCATGCATAACTCCTCAAATAATTATACTACAATAATTTCAATAAAATGTAAATGTAAATGTAAGTTTGGTAAACCACATTCTACATTCAATATTCCCATTTTTCAATGCAATCATTAACTGCAATAGACTTTCAACTGCCCTAAAACCTCTGGAAAAGAGTTTGATCACTGTAGTTGCCTCCCTGCCACATACACTGAATGCTTCAAAAGCTAAAACGTAAAAGTGCAATTTATCAAAAAGACATAGTTCAATGCAGTTTCAGTGTCTTAGTGTTATTGCATGATGACAAAAAAATGGTTTGTCAAAAATTTAGTGATGGATTTTAAAAACAGAAATGTTGCTTTTAATTGTTTCTCAGTTAATGCTGTGTTGTATTATACCTCTTTGTACAGGCAATTTTTTTTATGACCAAAAATGTTTAGTGCTGTTTAGAACGTACTTGGGGGTACATTAATGAAAGAAGACACACTTACCTCTGAAGTCTTTGGGGATTGTCTTGCAGGACTCAACACTGTTCTTCAGGTAGCGCAGTTTCTCTTTGACAGTCTTCATGTTAATTGTGTCTGACATTTGCATCTTGTCTACATCTGTACGCAATTTACCCACCTAACACACACACACACACACACACACACACACACACACACACACACACACACACACACAAACACACAAACACACATTTACAATATTGCATATAAACAGGTTAGGTCTTCTTACTTTAGGGTTTAGTAAAGTTTGACTTCATGCTGCTCCTGGAGGCTATTTCTTGTCAACTTTAAGAGTCATTTTAGAGTTACCTCTTTGGAGAGCTTTCGTGTTTGGCCGTTGTTAAGCTGTCTGTGAACGGCACCAATGTCTGTCTCCACCTGGCTGAGCTCCTCGCCCAGGTGGCGCAGAGACAAGGCAGTGTACAGCCCCTGGTTGTGCAGGTACTGGTGAGGCTCCAGCTGGGCCGTAATGTTCGTAACCAGAGCCTGCATCTGAGGGAGACGCTCACTGGACAACTTCACCTGCAGGGACACACAGACAGAAACTCCTGTTTCTTGATGACTGAATGTGTTTTCCTGATACCAGGTTCATACATTCTTAAATCTTTTTCGGGTACTGTACCCCACTGTAAAATTATTCTGGTTGACTGAAGTTCTCACCTGTTCCTGCAGGGTGTTCAAAGATCCTCCACAGGACTCAACCTGCTGCAGCACGGCCTCGTACTTCACAGCAGGGAACGACCACAGGGTAGAGTTCACCTCACACGCGCACGTGCCATTCTTCCTCACGCCTGACACACGCTGAGCCTGGCCATCACCCTGCAGTCACACATGTAAAAAACACTAAAGTTGTATACAGGACATTTACAAGCATAATAAAGAGACTGCACCAAAAAAAGCAACAGAAAACAAAGAAAAAAAGCCTCAGTCTACTCTCATCAAGTGCTATATCTATTAGTTATTATTATTCTTAGTTTCTCAAAGTAGGATATCAAGTGTAACTCACTGGTGACAGCAGCAGTAGAAGCAGCAGTAGCATGTTTAGAGCTGGAGAAATTAATAGTGGACTGACACACAGAAATTGTAAGTACTGTAATCACAACCCCTCCTCATCACTTTTCTCTAACACAGTCACAGCAAAGACACATATTGCTGACTTGTTTCATATCACCAATGAGTCACTGCAAAGCCTTAAAAACACTTAGGTGGATGTGAAACTGTGTTTCACAGCACTTATGGTCAGCCAAAAGAGTTTGCTATATTTTCCCTCTCCTTAACGCAGTGGTTATTATTTCCTCTTTGCAATATCATGTGCAGTGTGGTCTACTTTTTAACGTTCCCCTAACATATTAATGCAGCAATGTATTCCATACAGAATATATCAATATACGTATGTGTTGTGTGTTTGACTGGGGGAAAAGGGATGGTACTGACAGGTTGATTGGGCAATGAAACATAGGTGAGCAGTAGGATGTGAGATTCAGGTGACCAGGATTGATGGGAAACTCAGAGGGCATCTGAAGCACAGTTGGAGAATGACAATCACAGCAAAGGTTCATAGAAATGTCTAGACATTTCAGGCCGAATTTTTCGCAAAATGGGCAAAAATTAAAAGAACCAGCTGTTGTGACAACAGTATCCACAGGGCAATTTCTACAGCAATTTCATGTTATTGTGTAAATCATAATTTAAAATTGTATTGCACACAAATGCACATACATAAACACATCACATACATGTAAAGTCGGTAAGTAAATAGCTGTTTACCACTACTTGTTTACAGAGTCTCCTAAAAATACATCAGACGCCTCATTAAACAGGATTACCTGGATAACTTTGCTGAATTAATGAGTGAATGTGTGTGAAAGGGTGAATGTGGCATGTAGTGTAATAGCGCTTTGAGTGGTCTGAAGACTAGAAAGGCGCTATACAAGTACAGGTCCATTTACAATTTATCATTTGGTGCTCTGTGCAGATACAGTCTCAGTGTGCCCTCTTTCCCTTCTAATGAATCTACAAATCATTTTGTCTTTCCTGCCTTTGTTATAGCAGTCAGTAGAGAGATAACAGGAAACCAAATCATAGAGAATGCGCCTTAAAGTCCAGATGAGAACAGGAGACATTTCTTTTAGCAACATTTCACATATACATCACAGGCTTTTTCTATTCTATTTATTGTATGTATTGTATATATTATTCCTATTTTATCGTACTGAATTTCATTGTATTGTATTCTATTATGTTCTATTTTCTTTATTTGTTGTACTACATTAACCTGTGCTGCTGTATCAATTTACATTTTCCCTACGGGATCAATAAAGTTACAAATTATCTTATCTTGTTTTATCTTACAGTGGAGAATGATAATACAGTCTTCAAGGAGATCATCACTTAGCAATAGTAAACTTTAAATCATATACTTGTGGTGCCATTAAAAAATGCTGTAGTTACGAAACAAAACATTGCATGAACAACATAAACCACAGAATGAATCATTCAATAAAAATGCTGCTGTCTGTCTGGGTGTGGAATTTCTCCAGTGGATATCTTGTGTGCTTGATGCAACATGGTCACTCTCTGTTCCTGAATACTGTAACCACATCTTCAGCACAGATACTGTACCATACCCTTCCACATTTAGATTTCCTTCCCATCATCCACTCTCATCACCGCAGGCGCCACAGACTGTCTGCTCTATCTGAATGAGAGCTGGACAAAACATGTCAGGGTGAGATTTGTTTCTTATGACGCACTGCTTAATAGAAACATAAAACTATATTTTGTCAACAGCATGAACAAAAATCAATTAATCTTTTTCAGATAAACAGTATATTGTGAAACTTATTTAATAAATACTACTAATTATTACTAATAAAAGCATTGTCTCAATAGACAGATAGGTAGGTCTCCTTTACTAGCGTAGATCAGTTACATTCTTCAAACTATGAACACCAAAGTGTAATTCATTCAGATTTACCTGCATGTTAAACAAGAGAGACGAAAAGTGCTGACTCCTAACTTCTGACATGTGAAGTTCGTTGCTCGCTGTCTGTATGCTGGGTGCTGTACATTTTTGGCTGCTGTAAAAGGACGTTCATGTTCAAGTGTCATAGTGGTGGCACACAGAAAGAAGTGTACTTCTGAAATTCAAGCTATTTGTTGCCAAATTTGCTGAACAAAAACTCAGAAGAAGCAGCACAATTAGATATAGTATTTCCCATCTGCTGAGCAAGAGTTTTGTGTAGAAGGAATTAATGGCCTGTCCCATATAGATGCCTATTTTCAATGAAGGCAGGGTGAGTCCAGTGATTAAAGCAAATAAACACTTTTATAATAAGGTTTACGGTATATGGTTTATTTCTGTTTTAAGTGTTAACTTCCATTATTTACCATCAGTGCATTATTTACAGCTTTACAACTACATGCTTTACAGCCCAGTGCAACCCAATGTGCGTTATACTTTATCCACTATAAGTTCATATTATTTGAAATAAAAATAAAAAAACTGTGACAATAACTGTGACACCCACAGCTTTGTCACACAGCTAGTTATTCTTTGTGACACCATATATGACTGCTGGGATACACAACATGCTGTAGTCATGAAACAACACATATAACAAAAACCACAGAATTAATCAATCAATAAAAATGATGCAGATATCTTGTATGCTTAGTGCAGAGTGGTTACTCTCTGTTCCTGAATCCTGAAGCACAGATAGTGTATATGCATCCCTTCAAACTCAGAAACTTAGAAAAAGGCAGATATTAGTCACAGCTTCCCTTTTACATTTAAATTTCCTTCCCATCATCCAGTCACATCACCGCAGCCTGAAGGACCAATGACTTCCAGCCCCCACAGACTGTCTGCTCTGAATGAGAGGTGGAAAAAACATTAATCTCAGGTTGAGATATGAACTGGTATCTGAAGGCAATAGTTTATATTAAAGGTTTAAAACCTATAAATAAAAATAAGTTTGCTTTTCTCAGATAAACATTATATACTTTTAATTCCTGTTTTAAGTGTTCTACAATTATTTACCATACACTACAAAGATATGTACATATAATTTTCAATTGAAAAAATAGTGATACTGCATTTCCACAAATAAAAAACTGTACTGTATTCATCCCTGCCTACTGCTACTTTACTGACACCCAATGCTTTGTAACACAGCTAGTTATTCCCTGATGACACCACATAAGATTGTTAGATTAGGCTAGTGTTCATGAGCCTGCAACATGCCTGTCCTGATCCTCCCTCACATGATGCCAGTGGCAGCTTCAGCTGCCCAGTGCCACAGAGACTGAGCTGCACAGTATCTTGGCGGCTCTAGGTGGGTGGTCGTCTGCCTGGACCAGTTGGGGTGAGAGAGAGAGAGAGAGAGAGAGAGAGAGAGGTGCACAGCAACAACCACACTAATAGTAGTGACTGATGATGATGAACATGAAGAAGATGATGACGACGATGATGACAACAACAACGATGGGGGATTTTAAATTCTATTCTACATTTTACAGGGAGCCAGTGCAGAGAAGCTAGTACAGGAGAGATGTGATCTCTTTTTCTAGTTCCTGTCAGTACTCGTGCTGCAGCGTTTTGAATTAATTGGAGTGTTTTAATGGACTTATTGGGACAACCTGATAATAAAGAGTTGCAGTAATCCAGCCTTGAAGTAACAAATGCATGGATTAGTTTTTCTGCATCTGTCTGTGATAGTATGTGTCTAATTTTTGTAATGTTGTGTAAATGAAAAAAGGCAGTCCTAGAGGTCTGCTTCATGTGGGAATTAAATGACAGTGGTGCTAGACAGTGGTGCTAGAGGCCAAGGTAATACCATCTAGAGTAACTATATCTTTAGACAGTGATCTCGGAGGTGTTTGGGGCCAGCATCAGAAAATTGCAGCTCCTCCAGGTTTGTAACTTAGTTAACTGATTAATGGTTCAGCAGACCGATGTTCACGAACTGCAGCCATCACCAGTTCTTGAGCTGCAGCTGTCCCCAGTTCCTATGTTGCAGCAGTCTCCAGTTATTGTGCTGCAGCAACCACCAGTTTCCTTAGCTCCTCCGGTTCACCTGCCAGATTGCTAGTTGCTGGCCTCCAGTCCTGTAGCCCTGTCACCAGCCTTCAGTTCTGCACTCCAACCTCATTGGCATCTACCTTCTTTGCCAATCCCATCAGTTTACTTTGACATCTGTCAGTATCGGCCTTAATCGTGTTAACAGTTTCTTGTGTTGTTTCAGTTCCAACCGCAAGGAGGAAGAGATCACATTCTGAAGGATAATGACAGATCACATGCACACAAACTAAACACACATTCACTCACTCAAATGCAGAAGTTAGTGGCAGTGTTCACAAGATACAAATTGCTGTTACAGTCATATTCAAACTGTGTTCAGGGACTGTTTCATTTACCTCTGCTCTCTGATCCACCATGAAGCTGTATGTGATCGTTCCTCTGTGTGCTCTGTTCACCCTCACCCAACAGGTAAGAAAACACTAAGAATATAGTCATTATTATTCTGTTTTTTAATGAGCTCCTTTAATTTTATTGCAAATTATCATACACTTTCAAATTAAGATACATTTACATTTACTTAACATAGCAATGTTTGATATTGATTTCAGGCACCGTCACGTGATAAGTGTGCATGTGAGTTGACTAATTCAGAGAAGGCATTCCCTCATGACAAACTCAGCACAGTGGAGAACGATGCATCAAAATGCAACAGCAACATCACCCCACAGAAGGTAACTCGTTGCATTATTTTATAAACCAGACTAAAGAACACAACCTCCCTCAAACCTAATATAAACAAATATATAAACTGATAAGACTCCTACGTGTATGCGTTCATGCTGGAGGAGTCCTGAGTGTGCTCACAATCTCTACCTGCTTTCTCTGCAGACTCTGGAGCTGGAGAGTCTGCTGTTGGGTTTGGAGCAACGTTTGCCCCGGTTGCAGGAAGATGTGTCGATGCTGGAGAGGGAGGATGACGGACAGCTCTATGCAGTTCTCAGCCTGTATGTGGTAGAGAATGAACTGGTTGAGATCAAGCAGCTTTTCGACAGGCTTAACGGCACCACCCTGGGACACCAGCATCTAACTGCTAACACCACTAAACAGGTTAATTCACATGTGACAAGCACAAGTTGCTAATTTAA